CAAGTTGAGGCAGCCATTTTGGAAGATTGACACATTACTTGTTCACCAAATAGCCCAAGAGGTCAAGATTAGTACAGGGTCTGTGGAAACTATCATTCATGACCATTTGCATATGCATAAGGTGTATGGCAGATGGATTCCCAGGTTGTTCACACATTTCCAGAAGCAAGAACGCGTCTAGAGCTCAAGGATGAATTTGCACAGACTTCCGGCCATGTTTGAATTCACGATGCTAGCGTTTTACAAGATCATATGAAGGGGCATCATCACCATAAGTTTCTTTCATTTCATCAGAGGTTTTCTCTTTTGGTGTGCTTCCTTTCAAATACAAAAACCGTATCACTTCGCAACACTCAACTGGCTCCATTTCACACCTGACTCAGTTCAAACACCTGTGAATCAGAAACCACAATTAGTTCAGAGCTGTTTTTTGCAACATGACCCATAGAGATGTAAATTATTTCATCTAGATTAGACAACTGGAAGTGGGTCAGGGGCATTACTTATTGAACGCCCCTCGTATTTTCGTCAGACATTTGCATGAAAACCAACAAACAGGGGCGACCCAAACATAACAATGACCGATCACTGGTAGCATAGTGGTTGTTGCATCAGACTCATGATCGATAAACTCAAGTTCAAATCCTACCTTAGGCTGAACACCTAAAGGGTCGACCCCTACCCTGGGTGAGTGTGCCACAGACTCGATGGGAAGGCTAATTCCACTGACCGAGATTCATTCACTGATTAAAGGTGCTTGTATTCGACCGAGCCTGGTTGACGCCAGGATAACGCATTAAATTGCCATTTGATAGTGAGATGGGCGCACATCCCTATAATGTGTGTAGTTCCAAACATGAATATGGCTTCTGTGGCAAAAATGCACTTGCAACTTGCAACAAAAAAATGTCAGGAGAGTCAACAGTGCCATTCTATTGTATTAAAGAAGGTTTTATGCCACCGAGTAATATTTCACTTTTTTTTAATATGAAAAAGTACTACTAACTTGAAGACACTGGCCGAAGAGCACAATTCTTCAACATGAATGCAAATTACACATTCTTACTATAATTATATATATAATTGTAATATATCTTTGTATGATATCATACTCACATCAGTATTTAACTTTTTTTGAAAAGAAAACAACGAAACAGACAAATTTATATGTACATGGCAACATTGAAATGAGTAGTCATTAAACAAATTTTGTTTACATGGCAACGAGATCTCGATCCCAACCAACCATATCCTTTTGAGTTATAAACCAAATCTGCTGAAATCTAATCAATTGGCCCCGTGTCCAAGCCAACCCCTCCTTAAAATTGTATGAAAATCCATCAATAACATTTTGAACTACACCAATTTCGAACACGATGGGAATCGGTGTCAACACTGTCTGGTTCAGTGTAGACATTCTCTGTCATCCCCAGTCTAAGTAATGCACGACGATCCAGTCAAGTAGCATGAAGTATACAGTTCGGCCGTCTGTTGCTATAGTTACCATCGAATCTACATTATGTGTAGACTACTCGTTTGTTGTCAAAAACACGCTTCGTCACTTTAAATAGCGTTTCCATGGTTATAAATAACTTCGTTATCACGATTTGCCAAGCAGCCACTGTCCAGGTACGCATTTCGCATAACAGATGAGTAATAATCGCAATTCCGAATCTGCATTCGGATACATTGACTCATCCAATCGGATTATTCAATAAATATTAGACCCATATATTGAATTATTTCTTTCCATGACGTTGCAACACCTCCACCAAACTAAGAGAACCGCCCGCCCAGTCAAGACAATATACTTTTGTCTAATGTTATCTTGGCCTCGGGGAAAATTGTACAGTGGGAACGAATTTAGACCGGGACACTACCACTGAGGAAATTACTGGCTTACTTTGGGCAAGAGATTTGACGAAAAACATATATTGTGTGGCGAAAAACAAATTGCGTGACCAAATACTTTATGTGACGAAAAGCATCGCATGGCGAAAAAATATTCTAACACGTTCTTTGCAAAAAACGTTGTGTGGCAAAAAAAAACATCGCGTGGCGAAAACATATTATTGTATTAATATTTTGTATCAAAAAAATGTTGTGTGGCTAAAAAATATTGTGTGGCGAAAAGACATATTGCGTGATGGAACACATATTGAGTGGAGAAAAATATATTACGTGGCGAAACGCATATTGTGTGGCGAAATACATTGTATGGTGAAATACGTATTGCATGACAAAACACACATTACGTGGCGAAAAACTTAGCGGCCGAAACGCATATTGTGTGGTGAAAAACAATGCTTGACAAAAAATTGCGTAACGAAACCCATATTGTATGACGAAAAAACATTGCGTGACGAAACACATTGTGTGGTGAAACACATTGCATGAAAAAGCACAGCGAAACGCATATTGTGGCGAAAAAACATATTGCGAGATGAAACACTTTGTGTGACAAAATACAAATTACGTGACGATTGTAGCATTGGGCCATTATACAAATTTAGGTTTTGTATATATTGACTTTACCTGGAATAACAATGTCCCCTGTGACTGGAAACTTTTCATCTTGATTAGTTGCAATGAATACACATCCCGGATCACTGAGATATGTACTTGCTTTAATTAGTTTGATGTAACTGAAATGTTCGTCAAAACCTACGAGTACAGCTTTTACCTTGAACGATAACAATATTGAGGTTAAAGCGGAGGGGTCATCACCTGCGCATGCACGTAGTTTGAACCCTAAGCGACGATGACAACGCACGCTTAAAACGCAAAAGCTCATGGGCAGACGCTTGTTTGTGAACAACCATGTGATATGGCCGTTTGCAACATGCTTAGGTGACGACCTTTCCTGTTTAATTAGTATAGGTAAGCAATATGTTAACTCCATATTAGATTTTGCAAAGGATTGTGGGATATAAAATTGAACTATAGAGGGCGTGTAGGGGCGCACATCATTCCATGTTGAAATCAGTTTTTTACCTTTACTGTTTTCAAGCAACGCATTATTTTTTTAATTACTGTTAAACATTCATTAATTTTACTAAGAAGATTTTTTTTAGATTTTTTACTGTTTTTGCAAACATACATTTGAAAGGAAATGCAAATAATGACAGTGCAGAGAAAAATACAAACAATGATGTTAAAAAAAGTAGAATATTTCATCTACCAAAATGCCAACAAATATTCCTTGTTGACGCAGGGTCAGATCATTTTAAAATTGTTATGCAATGTTTCCATATAATTTTACAAAATCAAAAAAAAATGTCCTACATCCACCTTTCCAGCGAGTATGATGAAATCGCCCGCCGTGCTGTAGAAAACTATTGCTTGAAACGTTCACAATTTTATGACAGATCTTCATCAATTGAAGTCACATAAAGTTTTTTAAATAATAGGCAAAACAGATAGATGAACTATTCAATGAAAATAGTGGAATGCATATATATATGATCAACATACCAACAATTACTTTGTTGAAATTTAATATTAAATGTTTCCAGCTAATGGGTTGTACGAACAAAAGTAACGTTAATTTAAACGTGTCCACATTTCAAACTCCAACATCGAACATGTAATAATACCATTAATGCACTATAACAAATATTGAATCAATGAGCCGTCAAACATGTGAACTGTAAATATTATACAAGCATTCGCAGCCCACTTCCATGAACGACTAATCAACAATGTGAGAGAGAGAGAAATAGAAAGAAAAATAAGAGAGATCAAGAGCGAGAGAGAGGGAGGGAGAAAGAGACAAAGACAAAGACAGAAACCGAGGGAGAAAAATAGAGAAAAAGAAGAGAGAGAAAGAGCGAGAGAGGGAGAGAGACAGGCAGACAGACAGAGTATCATCTGTCACTTGGAAAACACATAATACAAATAATTCACCTCTTTATCAATAGATAATGCTTTCCATTCATCAATGTCCAAAGATGTTGCAGGGTCTGGCTATAATCATATTAAACATTACATTTGAATTATTAGTTTTTGCATATACACTCCTACTGAACGTTTTATACAGTGGACTACAAAAGCGTATACCACGTGTAGCGCCATGCAAACACGGGTCAAAGTTCGAAGACAGATTCACTAGATATTCAACCAAGCTCAGTACAATACAGACATACACAAATATGTTTAGTTATATCATTCAGTAAAAAACACACAATTATAGCGGGAGGGTCATCGCCTACGCACGCGCGGGAATTGAGTCCCAAGCGATGATAACAACACACGCTAAAACGCAAAGGCTCATGGGTAGACGCTTGTTTGTAAACATTGATACGCTATGGCCATCTGACGCATGCGCAGATGCTGACTCCCCGTTTTAAGTTTTTAGACACTACAAATTGTATTACTTTCGAAAAGTTGATGTTAATTATATCAGTACTTACACCTTCTCCTACATATTGAATATCCATTAAATCTAATTCGTCCGCCATTCCTTTGCTTCCAACAAGATAGACTTTACCAGTAAATTTTAAACAATACTTAAGATAGGAAGCAGCAGTAAACGCCGGGCAGACAATTTCTTCCTTTTTCATAAATAAATAAAAAAAGTAATGAACTCAACAAAGGTACACTATGCATGGCAAAGACCTCTGTGGTTAGTTTTGACGGCCAGGCGCTTTGCCGGCGCCGTTGTCATCAATTCGAATTTCGACTGATTTGTGTTTATATGTTCTTATTATGCCTATGATAACATTAGTCCATTGAAAAGCCTAAATTTGGACGTTACAAACGTCTTATAAATATATTTCTTATATACAAAAACTCGTTGTTAGATTTCAAATTGACCAAATCAGAAATTGACATCGAGAGTTGTAATTAATATTAACCAATTAGTTGAACATTCAAACAACCAGCTCATTCAGAGTGGACGCCGTAGCAGTTGCTATGTCACTTGAATATTATAGGCGTAGATCAATGTTGAACTGTTAAGCTAATCACAACTAAATATTTGAATTTCAATGAAAGCTGATGATCGGTATTTATATTTTCTTTTATAAACATGTTTAGTACAGCTTCAATAGTGGTAAAGCTTTCTGCCTTTCATCGTATAACCACAAAATACACCTGTAGTTTATAAAAATGAAAGTTTATAAATATGAAAAATAACATGATAAATAGTTATATGTAGCATATATTATGTTATTTTTCATATTTATAAATTACAGGTGTATTTCGTGGTTATAGTTCATCTGTATGTGCATACTATTATTCATAATATATTATTGTACTAGTATCTTCAATTCATGTATATATAGAAATATCAAATAATTTTGATATTAAACATATTACCAAGTATGCTTCGAAACCAAGATTTTGTAACTTCTGTAGAACTTGATAACTAGAATATATACTGTTATTTGTCACAAAAAATATTCTTTTTCCCTGAAAAAAAAGCAACAACAATAAAAACACAAAATATTAAAATAATAAGTATTGAAAACACAGCTTCTTCTAGTACACAACTTGCTAAAATACAAATAGGCACGTTACGATCTATTTTATATCACAGTGATGACCTGTACGCACGAAGAGGAAACACAACATGCATACTTTATCGGTATCAGAAACGCACCATCCAAGTTTTAAAATATAAAATGTGTCTAACTTTAAAAGCGAATATGGTCTTACCAGACGCCGCATTTTAGTGAGTGTTTCTGCAGCTCCGGGTAATGCAGTGTCATGTCCCCATAACACTCCTGGGCCGGACAAAACAAAGAGAAATTTATGAAATTGTATAATCTTAGTAAATCTTTCGTATAGACCAGATATTGATAGTATATAGCATAGACGGAGATATATGCGTAGTCTATATACTGGGGCAAACCTGAATATTCCACATCAGATTATTGAAAACTATGGGAGCTTAAAGATAAATCCAAAGAAACCTCACCAAAAATGCGATATGTTGGTTGAAAAAATAAATAAACAAAAAATATATATAGTTATGAATCACAGAAAATATCTTCTGCAGAAGAAATGTATCATACGTATTCCAACTTAGGAGTCATTTTAGAATATTTCAATCATTTCTGGCGTCGAAATTAGCGTGCAATTCAAGTTTTTTTTTATCGCTAACGCGATATAGAATTGCGTTAATGGATAAACTCCGTTTGACATTTAACTGTAATTACAGTGAAAAGTCTTAAATATTTATTCTAAAATAAGTTTAACTCACAAAAAAACCGATTTCCTGTTTCTTTAAAAAAACACTTGTGCCATTTTCTTCTAATAAATCAATGGCAAAATATCCTATTGCAATAATTATACATCAATTCCGTATTGTAGTGCGTTCGCCATCCGACGTTATTCGGAAATTCCCCGAATATGTTCGGCTGAAACAA